CAAAAAGCAATTACATGCTAAATCAAAAGATAAATGGCAAACTGGCAGAAAATATTATATATATAACTATATTAAAATATATGTACATATATATATAAAAAAAAAAAGAGGAAGGGAGCTAACGTCCCAAACATATAAAGTACTTTTAAAAATAAGGAGACCAAAAAGCCTACAGAGAAATGGGCAAAAGACATGAAAGACAATTCAAAAAAATTATAAAACTGGCCCTTAAAATATAAAAACTTATTAGACGTCACTCATAATAAGAGAAATACAAATTAACACTACATTGAGATAACATTTTCACCCAACAGATTGACAAAATTTCAAAAGCTTCATAATATACTCTGCTGATGAGACTTGGGAGAAAACAGGTACTCTCATATATTGCTGACAAGAATGTAAAATGGTATAATAGAGAAAGATTTGGTAACGTTTAACAAAACTACATATGCATGCACTCTTCAACCCAGCAATTTTACTTCTAGGAATTTACCCTAGAGCTATATCTCCAACATTATAAAAGTATAAATGCACAAACTATTCATTGCAAACATTATTTTTAACTACGAAATACTGGAAACTACCCATGTTCAAGTATAGGAGATTGTTTGAATAAATACAGTACATACACCCAGAGTACAATTATAAAAAAAGAATGAGATACAGAGAATGAACCGATGGCTATCAGATAGGAGGGGGTTGGGGAGATAGGTGAAAAAAGTGGGGAAAAAAAAGAATGAAGAAAATCTCTATGAAAGAATGAGAAATGGTTCCTAGGAAAAACTGTTGAGTAAAAAAAGCAAAGTCAAAACAACATATATTAGTATGCTATCTTTTGTGTTAAGAAAGTGGAAATAAAACGTACATATATGTGCTCATCACTACCAAAAAAAAAAAAAAAAAAATCCCAGAATCAACTAGAAAACAAAAAAGTTGGTTACCTACAAGGGATGGGATCAGTGAAGCAGGATAGAAGGGAGTGACATTTCTTTGAGTATACCTTCTTGTGTAATTCTGACTTTTGGGAACAAATTAATCTTCTACATATTTAAAAATAAAAGAAAATCAACAAGGATGGGAGAAGTAAAAATCTAAAACTGAGGGCAAGCTGGAAAAACTGAACTCAACTCAATTTTAAATGAACGCGAAAAAGAAGAAAGCACATATTTGACTTTACTGACTGACCCTTAGGTGGAGTAGAGAACTACCTATATATCCTGAAAACTTATCTTTTTAATAAGATTTTTTTTTATACTGGTATAGGCAAAGCAATTCTGAAACTATTTCAAATACATTATTGGAATAAACAAAAGAGTAAATGTGTTGATGTTGATAGGAGCCAGGTTTCTCACTGTGGAAGTAAATGTGCAATGAGGATAGGCAAAAAAGAAATCTGTGAAGATAGACTGGAATTTACAGCGTATGTAAAAATTCACGATTTCTAAAATATGTATACACAGGTCTATGTGCACACACAGTATATATGAAGGAATGTGTGCATGTGTTTGCATAGACATTATATGTATATGGTGTATATACATACATATATTCCTAGCTTCTCTGCTGAAAAAGTCTAGAAATAAAGATACCTAGCACCCAGATCTTGGTTTCTAATATCATTCCCCATTAAAAGAAACAAGGGTTCCTTGGAAAAGTGACTTATTCTGGAGTACGGGAAAGTATAAGATGAACCAGAAAGTAAGGAAAAGCTCAAAAAAAGAGAAGAATATGTCACAAAGACAGATCCAGTGCAAAAGGGCTCTCACTAGGCAAACTTAGGAAAATCTGAGCAACAAAATAATTTTTAAAAGGAATGAATTGTAGACCACTAAGGGGAAAAGGGGTGAATCTACTTGTTCATTTTAATAAGAGAATGGTCTCCTGCTTACGATAGAGTGAGTGTCAACTGGTAATGTGGTGGGTGGGAGTGCTAGAGTTGGAAAATCATGCCTTTGTAACCATCAAAGTCAAGACTGGTTCAGGCAAGAATAATCAGTGGATGCTAAAGCTGTCAACTTGACAGAGGCGAGGGAGGATTTAGATGCAGAACAGAATGTTTACATGGTTCTTAATGTGTCTTCCTACAGACGGCCTATTAACTGCAAGGGGGAAAAAATAGTAATTATACAGTGGAAAAATCAAACACCATCTTAACTAGCTGATCCAAACTAACATTACCAATGAGGGGGAAATAGCTATCATGTGAATGCCCTGAAGACACAAAGTCACTGATGATGCAGGTAGTCCAGCAAAGAACGTATAACTTGAATCTAATCATGAGGAAATATCAAATGACCCAAAATGAGGAACAATCTGGATAAAAAATAAAGGGAAAAGGGGTAGTAGCCTTCAAAAGTATAAATGAAAGAAAAAAAGAGGCTTTGGATATGTTCCATATCAAAGGGATCAAAAAACATTAACAACAATATACCTGATGCTAGACTGGAAAGGAAAAAAGATGGTATAAAGGATATTAATGGATCAATTAACAAAAATTGGAGTATACACATTAAACTATTATATTAATAGTACATTTACAAACATTAAAAACTGTACTGCGGTTATGTAAGAGAATATCTTTATTCTTAAGAAATATATATTAGTATTTTTGAGGTATAAAGGGATATGATGAATACAATTTACTTACAAATAATGCAGAAGAAAATATTATGTAAATAAACATAAAGAGAAAACAAATGATAAAGCAAATGAGGCCAAATGTTACTAATGGTTTAATCAGGCTTAAGGACATATAGGTGTTCTTTGTTCTATTTTTATTCTTGTAACTTTTCTATAATAAAAGTTCAAAGAGCTGTAGGAGGCACTCAGGATAATGAAGAAATAAAAGAATAAGCAATATGTTAGGGGTGGGATATATGCAGATGGTGGAGAAGAGACTCACTAGAGGATTAATTCAACAACGAATACAGAAAATCATTGTATCAGTTAGACACCTCTTGACTTTGATGGGCCTTCTTCCTAATCACAAGTAGTCATATACTTCAAGTTAGTTTATGGTGTAATTAATAGCTGGTTGGCAGATCTTAATACAAAAAGAGGCAACTCTATGATAGTGGTTAGAGCATGAGCTCTAGACTTAGACTGCTTGAGTTTGCATTTCATGAAATATATACATTGTATAACCTTGGCCAAGTCACTTAACCTCTCTATGTGCCCTAATCTCCTCAGGAAGATTTTAAAAAGCATCTCCATGTTAGTTGTTGTAAGAGTTAACAGTAACATTAAGACTGCAGTGCACACTATCTGCTGTTTCACTATTCAACAAATGTTAGCTATTGCATCTTTACTGCTTATGAAGTTTCTGATGGGAAAGACAGCTACACGGAAAAACTTCAATCACAATTTGTTCCCACACAATCTGAATTTTAATTAATTTAGCCAGATAAACCTAAACATGAGTACTCTCAAAGTATGAACAAGATTAAGCAAAAATAGGTTGAAGCAATAGCATGTCTTCAGAGTCATATAAAGTAAACTAAGAATTGTAGGACTCCCACACAATGTTAATTGTGAGAACACTCGATCAAGTGTGTATAGAAAGAACCCAGGTCGAGGTCTCAGCAGCCAGACTCTAGCCCATTACTATTAAGTCACTTTCACTGTCACACTTACTTATAAACCTCCACAACCCAAATTAAAGATAAGGCACATTATTTTTCTCTAAGCATGTGATTACCAGTTTTAAAAGATGAACACATTTTTTTGTCACTCAAGTTTTCCTTCCCCCCAAGAGTTTCCTATTTAAATAAACTATATAGCTTTGTAATATTTCCACCATGTATGGTACTGCAATGTACGGTACGCTGCTCCCCGCTAGTGGTTTACTCAGGGTGGGGAGGGGGAACCACAAATCATCTATCAACATCACCTTTGACATGTCAAAACTGTTAAATAGGCTTTACACATGGTTGTGTCACAGCTACTAACTAATGATAATTAAAAGTTATTCTGTCCACTTAAACTTTTAGCAAAAATATTACTACGACTTTGTAATATATTATGACTTGACTTATATAAACAAGCAACATCTCTATATTAGTTTAACGGTTAAATAAAAATACCTGTTCCAACAAATGGATCAAAGACAACATCATTTTCTTTCACTTTTCCATGGTTGGCCATGATGAATGATAAACCAGCATCCATGCTGGTATTTCCAATAAAGTGTCTTTTTTTGACACTGTATGACTCAATAAGCTCTCTCTGTCCATCTGCAATCTACATCAGAGATATTTTTGAAGTTAATGCAATGTACAAAACAAATTTAAGATAATCATTCACAATAAAACCACAGTATCTTGATAATAATTCCTTTCCACTTACTACTGCTCTAAACTTGTTCCTTTAAAAAATGTGATTGAGGTTGTAATGGAAAATATCTTCTGTTTCTTATTGTGTTGTCATTTACTTTGACTTTTCAAACCAAATTTGAATTGGATTTGTATGCAATTATTCCAGGGGTTGGGGGTGAGTGAACTTTACCCATCTTTTTTCTCCTATATAACAATTTCTGTAACACAAGCCACAGCTTCCACTCACCTACTTACAGCCTCAGGGAAGTAAACAGAACTGCTCTGCAGTAATTTAATTTCTTTTCAGAATGGAAACGTAGATTGAAGAGCTCCACAAACGAGCTCCCTCAGCTATCACAGCACTCTGCCTTTCTCAGCTTTATTAAAAAAGCAGTTCAAACTTTCTGACAAGTCTTTTGTTAATGTTTCCAGGTACTCCACACATCTCTTCCCTAGGCTCTATATCTAAGAAGCCTCTTACACTTTATAGAAAAACAAAACCAAACAAAACACATAACCACACAAAACACATAACCACGTATTTTTCACCAACTTTAATTCATACAGTTCTGACTACTTAGCTCCTTTAAAGTTCTACATATAGAGTCAAATACAAAGGCCTAACATTTAGCTTTTAGAGAAAACTGAAATAGGTAAAAGGAACACTTGCTTACCCATCTACCAAAATAAATATTATGTGGATTCTCAGGGATACAGTTTGGGTCCAAACCATAATCCTCCAAAACAGAGAATACATGCTGTGGCTTCTTCAAATTTACTTTTCCTTCAAATGGCAGAAACTCAAGAGCCTAAAAGAAATAAAAGTAATTATAATGTCCTATAAAAATTTTAAAGGAAAAATAGTGCTCAGATAATACCTATCTTGTAAGTTTGGTAACAGCATTAAGACAAAACATATCAAGCACTTAGCACAACATGAATTACAATATAAGCACATAACAGACATTGGGCATTATATATATCAACAACGGTTAGACTATATTAATCTCATAGGTTTTCTGGTTTTCGCTAAATTCACTTACATCTATTCGTTTCACTTTTTCTTCTTGTGTCAATGTTTTATTAAATGTGTGAATCTTTATTTTATATGTAGAATCTGAATGTAGAAATGGAACCTAAAATAAAAGCAGATAAATTCTTTAAGCTTAGTAATTCTATAGTTATCTACAGACATGCTATATAAAACCACATTTCACTACGCACCATCTTCTCCACAGGGTATTTTTTAAGAGAACTATACAGCTCTTCTGGAGATTTTCCATGACCCCATAGTTCAAATATGGACCTAGGAAATAAATGATTAGTACTAACCTCAGTTAAGAAATAGTTCGCACAGTAATATATAACAATTACTTCAGCAGTTCTTTAAGCTTACGCCACTATAACAATTATTGCCTGTTTTCCAAGCTATAAATGAGAAATATGTATCCTGCTAACAAATATAGCTTAAGTCCAAATCACACATAAGAGCTGAACTTTACACAGGAGAAATTTAACGTGAGTCAAGATTTTTCCTAGTTTTCATAATTATATTTTTGTACTACAACACAAATGATGCAGTAAAATCACTAAGTTATTTTAGTGAAACAAGTGAAAAGCTGCAGGAAATCCAATTTTTCACAATGTCTTCATAATCAAAAAGAAAAATGACCAGATGAAAATGTTACTATTTATATCTAGCTATTATTTGGCAACATTTAGTAACTAACGATTACTTTTATAACAATTACAAAAACTTCTTACTTTAAAAAATATTCTCAAGCTTCCATCGAGTTCAAGGAACATTTAAATTATAAGAAAAATTTCATTGCAATCAGTGAACCAGTTCTTAGAATGTTATAATAGAAATCGATCTATATATTAGCATAGTTTTGTGTATCTAAATTCAAACTACTCTATAATTGTAATTAACACTGCCATTAGAACTGAGAATATCCTTTGAAAACAAATTCCTGGTTTCGTTTGTACTGAATTTATAGAAAGAGGGCCTCTACAGTAATTCTGCTCTTACTTAGCTATCACTTAAGGAATGACCTCAGCTACATAAATCACACAAGACTAAAAAGCAACAACAAAAAATTATTCAAAATAGATGTCCCAAAATTCCAAGCATTCATTTTTCTTATTCTCAATGTTTAAAAATAATAAACTTAGTCAATTCACTCATTCAACGAATATTTATTAAGGATATGATGAGAATTGTTCTAAGCCCTAGGACACAGCAAAGAACAAAGCTCAATGCCTTCACGAAACTTAAAGTTAAAAAAAGTCCTGGAAGCATAAATTGAAGAAAAACATAGATACTCAATCTCCAGAAAGGCAAAATTCTGAAAAGCAAAAGTAGTAAAAAATAATAGTTAACAATATAATTTAAAGAACAAGGACTGTTCTAAGGCCATTTAACGTCCAATTATTTCTCACAGAAGCCCTATGAGGTATTACTGCCCATTTAACTAATGAGGAAACTGAGGCACAAAGAGATTTAAAAACTCTCTCAGGTCATACAGCAATTGAAACTAGGATTCAAACCCAATCCATCTAACCCCAGACTCCATGCTCTTTACCAATATCATACAATGCTTCTTAAAAATAAAAATGCAAAAATAAACAACAAAAACCCAGGAATCCTAGGCCTTTCAAGAAAGCTACACTCAGTTCCACAGATCATAATTATCCCTTATTAACTTTTATACAGTATAATATATGAACTTATGCATATAAAAACCTAGAACCAATAAATTATGAAATAACACTCATATCTTCTTACAGAAAGAATTTATATAACATATTAACAAATTTGTACCTTAAATGTTCAAAATAAAAGTTAGACAAAATAAAAAGCTTCAGTTATAACTGGAACATTATAGTAATACCTTTTATGATTTAAATTTTCAAAGTAAACAGTTTTCATATATAAAACTATACTACTATGATCTCTACTTTAGAGATTATTAAGTTTATATGAATTGCCATATTTCTCATGAGTGCTATATAAATAAGCATGGATGTTGATTTATCAAAATAAAATCAATAATGATGTAAAATATTTCACTGATTAGAGCACTAATAATAAAACTTTTCTGATAAGTAAAAATGGTTTAAGAAATTATCCTTTGAGGGAAGAAGGGGAATGGAATTGGGAAAGGTACAGAGAGAGCATCAATGGTTTCTGTAAAAAAAATTTTTTTTTTTTTAAGCTATGGCAAATATCTCAAAATGCTGAGACCTAACAAGGTAGAGAAACCTAGGTGTTTGTTATATTTTTCATTCTTTTTGTGGTATGCTCAAAATATTACATGTTAACAATAAATCAATAAAATTAATTTTCAATCCCTATTCTACCATAAAAAAATTTGAATTTAAATTACTTTTGAATCTATGCTTATAATAGTCAATTTTAGTTCTGGAACAATTAATACTATAATTAGAATTGTAACTTTTATCCTTTGAAAATGAATTCTTCCTTTTCTATTAAATTTATAGAGAGAAGGCCTCTACAGTATACTACTCTTACTTATCTATCACTTAAAGTATAACCTTAGCTATACAGATAATAAAAAGTCAAGAAAATTATATACAATATTATACAATCATCGCACAATTATTGATTGTATCATTAATCAAATATGTGCATCAGAAGTTATGAGCTTTGAAGGAAGTAGACAAGTTACTGTCCTCATGTAGCTATTTTAAACCTAATATGCCTTATCTTTGGAAATCAAGCACATCTTAGAGCCACAATATTAATATGCTATTTAAAGTACTAATCATTTAAAGATGTGTTTTTTAGTTGTTTCCATTTTCTGGTCATTTTTATTGAATAAGTTAGACCCACTAACAAGCTTCAGTTTAAGAGATGAGATTTAGAACTATGCCTAGTTTTCAAAAGGATGAATTTAACTAAATATGGGGGTATAATCTATTCAATAATACGGCAATTACATATGCTATAAAGAGTTGCTAAACTGGACATACGTAAATTCTTATTTTCACTGCATTGTTAAATATTATAATTTCTAAGGAAAGAAGGTGTTCAGCAATCTGCCAAAATATTCAGGGGGAAAAAAGCAACTCAAGGAAAACATCAGTTGTTTAATTTTTAAGATGCTAGTTGAAAAGTTTAATTTTCAAAGACAGAAACTTTTCCAATAATGAAAAAAAAAAGGAAGAAATGAAATGAAAAAAAGAGCAGATGCCAATGATAAAATCTAGAAAACACTCAAGTAGTATAAACAATGAACAACATCATTACATTAATCTCTACCAAGATATGATCATCAGATTCCTCTAACAAATAAAACAGTAAAACATATTTCAAGGCAGTCCTCAGTTTTTGTCATCTTACACTTCACTGATCTGCTCATCCAACTAAAACCACTGTACACTTGAAATAATTTTAGTAACCAATGTCACCCCAATAAGTTTAATAAAAAAATAAGAAAAACACTTTTAGATTGTCAATATTTTGGTTATAATTAAATGTGGCATTTATCCTATATAATAACATCGCATTTACATATTATAGCATAGTCCTGCTTAATATAAAAATTTTAAAAAATTATTCCAAAATAAGTGTTTCTGCA